GTTCTGGCGGAGGGAGGTGAATGAGGGGGGATAAGAGCAGGAGCCGCTTTAGAAGGAGGAGGAATTTTTATTGAAAAGAATCCGCCCTGCCGAGGGAACCGCGGAGGAGCAGCGCCGCATAGTTTAACATGCGATTTGTGTTTACACATGATGCTGGAAGCAGCAGGATGTTGAGGCGGTGCTGCTGGTGTTTCCAACATGCACTCACAGAAACACTATGTATGAGTGTATATTTTACCAGAAATCATTCATAGTTCTGGGATTATTCCGGCTTATTTACATTCTCAGGCTGCGATGTTGTGGATCCAGGGAATAAGCTGCTGCATACCTTCTGTAGAGGGAACGTATTTGTTAGTTGGACACCAGAATCTAAGTTCTGTTGCATATTTTTGGTTGAATTTTGAGAATTTCACGCATCCAGACCTGGAAAGTTTTTGTATTTCCACCTTCTGAAAAATCTGTTGTGCCTTATTTATGTCTACATCATGGCTCCACCTGGAGACGAGTCGACAGAGGAACTAAAAAAAAAAAATGATGGTGAGACTTCACAAAGATGTCAGGAGGTCTAGAAGGACCAGTGGTGCCACTAATCAGGACTTTGGTGGTCGAAGCCATTTTCAGGGTTCAGTATCTCCAGAAGTAAAACTCCAACGTTCATGAAATTTGGTGAGAACACAGACGGAATAGTTTCCAATAGATCTAGTAGAAAAAGTGAAACTAAACTGAATACTATTTTAGGTTCCAATCAGCCTAAATGCATGAACTTGGTTCTAAGATAAGCTGCTAACAGCAGAACCTTCTCAATTTTGGACCTATGGACGGTGGTTATGTCTACATCATGGCTCCACATGGAAAAGGCTGGTTGGTGGAACTAAAAATTCTGAATGGAAAACTTCACAAAGATGCAAAACGATCCAGGAGGACCAATAGGGTCAGCGCTAATCAGGAGGTCTAGAAGGAGCCATGGTAGCACCAATCAGGGCTGCAGTGGTGGCTATGAAGAAGAAGAAGAAGAAGCCATTTTCAGGGTTCAATATCTCCAGAAATAAAACTCCCACGTTCATGAAATTTGGTAAAAACACAGACAGAATAGTTTCTAGCAGATCAAAATGATTAAATGGCTCCATTGGAGGACAAATATTTAATTATCGGTCCTTGAAAATGGGAAAAAAGTGCAACAGGTTCGAATTAAAGTGTCGGTTTGTCCCCAGAAAGTTCCTGTAAGTTTGAAAATATGGATGGATCCATGTTTCCACTAAAAATCCAGTCTTTGGTCGACATTTCACCAACTGTTGAGGCTCTAACGTCAGTTGAGGCTCTAACATCAGTAGGAGGTGATGTGTGGCAAGACAAGAGTTAAGGGTTTTTGCTATTTTGACATTTCAAAATGCTGACATGGATCATTGGTAGGAAACAAACTGGTGTTCACAGGTTCTAGATGTTGTTATCATACGTGCAGAGGTACCAGCTGCTTTAATGTTGTCTTCATGTTAACATTTAACACCATATGAGGCTCATTTTTCCAAATGTCCCTGTACATATATCCATATCATATGTCCATACTCTCCACATATTAAATTCTACTGACGTTAGAGCCTCAACAGTTGGTGAAATGTCAACCAAAGACTGGATTTTTAGCAGGAAACATGGATCCATCCATGGATAAACACTGGCAGGAACTTTCTAGGGACACAAAACCACTGAATTTTGCCCTTCTTCCATTTTCAAGGACCAGTTTTTGCATCATTTTGGACCCATTTTGAGTCATTTTGGACAAGAAACATGGATCCGTCCATTTATAGACACTGACAGGAACCTTCTGGAGACACAAAACCACCTTTGTTCAAACACTTTGCACTTCTTATTCCATTTCAAGGACCAATAATTAGAGATTCATCCTCTGCTGGAGTCATTCAATCTTCCCGACCAGCTGGAACCCGTTCTGTTTGTGTCCTCAGCACATTTCATGGCTGTTGGAGTTTGATTTCTGGTGACATCGAACCCTTTTTGTTTTCTGGATGTTTCAGAATAAATCCTCGTGCACACAAACAGAACAAGCTGCGGGTTTCCGTCCATGTTGGTTCTGGTTGTCGTGCTGTGCGTTTACTCGACTGTGGCGGATTAAAAGCTGTGCAGGTTGGAGGAACCGCTGAGATCTGTCGGGTCTCTGTGAGATCCAGCTGGATTTAGAGGCGTTAGAGTGTCGGCAGGGCGACGGACGAAGCCCAGAACCTGAATCACAACGAGCTGGTTGGTAATTAGCTCCAAATGGAAACGTCAGCAGGTTGAATCTTCCTGTTCGTTGTGCTCAGCAGAGCAAAACTCTTTCAGTGTCAAAACACTGGTTGTTGTTTTTTTGCAGAATTTGCAGCGACACGCTTTATGAGCTTCACCTCTACAATCTGCTAAAACGTGGTTCCATAAACTATAAACCGGCAGCAACAATATGTTAAAATCAGTGGAGTGTTGTCACTTTATTCTCTGTGAGTTAACAAAAGGAAACACAAACGTTCGAGTCGCCCTTAAAGCAGCGATCGAGTTCCTTCAGCTTCACATCTCAGAGCGTCTAAAACCGTTAAAGCGTTTCTCAGAATGACTTCTTATATGTTGGAAATTTGATCAATTTGGTTCAATGTCATGTCGAAAGTCCACGAGAGGAGAAGAGCCGAGTCTCATCGTCTCTCCAAAGCTGCCAAATCGACTGAAAGCGTCGCTTCATTCCAGAGAATCAGCCGAGAATCAGTGAAGTGAAACGTTTCTGTCGTGGAGGGCAGCAGCCGACGGTGAGCAGGTGATCGCAGAGGTTGTGTTTTCACTTTTAATGCGGCTTCGCGGTCGAACCGAAGGATCCCAGAACGTCAGCGGGTCAACAGAAGCTCTGCTGCTTTTATCACCGGCGCTCCAAGGTGGTTTCAAGGTTCAAGGTCCTTTCTTTTCTTTTTTAAACCTCAAACCTTTAATATTCAGAGAAGCTGTCAGTCATGGTGGTGAACAAGTTCTTTAATGGGATCAAATAATATGATCAACAACAAACTGAACCAGAAAATAAACATCATAAGAACCCATAAAGAAACCTGTTTAGTGAAAACGTTTATGAGCTGTTCAGCAACCGGCCACCAGGGGGCAACCCGGCTGTTTAGACTTCACTTTTGGGGAATAAATGGGGGAAAAAAAACAAAACTGATATTTGAAAAATTCTCCAGAATGGATCGGACTGGTTTAATTCTACGTGTAAAACAACTTTGGATTAAATAACTGTTCATTTCTTTCAACGCAGTGTTTTGTTTGTCTCATAAATTGTGGCTTCATTTAGAGAAACACAGATGATAAAACATTTAATTTTAAGGTGTGACGACGATATCTTAAACATGAGCTCTGGTTGGAGGTCATTAAGCGCAACAGAAGTCTCTGTCATGGTCTGCAGAAATAAACGGTGAGAGGCTCCACCTGGTGGAACAACCAGGTACTACAGCAAAACAAAAAAACCTGTCCACAGTGACTAAAACTTCCTAACCAATTCTAATTTGTCTTAAACACGTTAGCTTTAGTCGGAGGTCATTAACCTCCACACAAGTCTTTGTCATGGTGTCCCAGTGCTAGCTCTGCCACCTGGTGGAACAACCAGGTACTACTCTGACAAGCTTGACCGTCTTCTTCAGACCTACCGGTTAACACATTTTCGATTGGTTAAATTATTCCGTTAATCATTAACAGAACCTGCTTCTGTAAATGTCGAGGGTAGTTTGGTGCGTCTACATGGTTTCCAGTGAGACTCCTGATTATCAGGCGACTCCATATGTTCTACATTTACCTTCTCATGATTCCAGACTGATTAAATTGTTGTATTTTAACAGATCAGATCAGCCGCATCACGTGTTGTCGTCATGTTGTGTCGTGTTGCCTCGTTGGGAGAAAACTGTTGGTTTTACAGCTCTGCTCTCAGAAAGCTGTGATTTTCACTTTAACCCACAAACATCAGCAGCAATCACAGGAAGAAACCGGCGACTGTGATGAGAGTTTGAGCTCCACGCTGTCATCAGAGTTCTGCAGCAGGTCACAGCGCCGATGAGCAGCTGGTGGGTCACGTGACCCGGAGGTATTGATTATTGATCGGAGCGTTTGGCAGACGAGCTCGTGTGCGTTTGTTGTTGGCGGTTACAGACGTTCTGATGCGTTTAAGGCTCGTTCACTGGTGGAGTTTAGTCTCTGAGCTCCGAAACCCGACGGTGGGGTTTAAAGGGAGGTTTCTGTTTAAAAAATAACCAAAGTTGCTGATGGTGGAACATCTTTCTATGGCTGATGTAGAGGCTGTAGATGGTGTACATGTTGATTCCATTTTTTCTTAATGTTTGTATAATAAATAACCAAAGGAAGTAGCTTTAATCGGTACTTTTCTCCCTCATTCCTGAGTTCTCTCTCCTTCATGTTGCTCCTCTGGAGCTGCAGGACTTTAGATTGCAGAGAAACATGAGGCAGGAGGTTAAAAACACGACCAGAAACTGGACTTTAAAGTGTTGAGCCGCCGGAGTAATGAGACCAAACTGAGCTTCACGCGCTGAACTTCTAACTCGAACATGTTGTTTTTGTGTGTCTAAAATTAGATTCCTTCTTTCAATTCCTTCTTGCTGCGGAATCGAAGGGGAACTCGGCGTAAGTGTGTTATGTTGTCTGGAGGGCCGGTTCTCTGCAGAGCTGACCCGCCGAACGCCGGCCTGATTCCTCCTCCAACAGAAAAACAAAGCAAAGCTACAACACCTCTCAGATTGCATTTCTTCCCTCTGCAGATTTCACCTCGGACACCACCTGATTGTATTATTTCCTCTGTGGAGCTTAATACGCGCTTCGGCTTTCTTCTGTTTGCCAAATTTAATTTCCTTTTTCTGCACGACGACGACGATGAAAAAAAAAAAAACACACGGAGGCTTAATTCCGTTTTGTTCCGCGCAGAGCCGAGCAAACACTAATTCTAATTTCCTCTCTCGCTATCTTTTCTCTTTCAGATCCGACTCTACGCCCGGCCCGACGCCATCTCCAGCGGCGCCGGCGACTACGCCCTCCACATCACCAAGAGGCTCCTGGGATTTTATCAGGACTACTTTAAAGTCCAGTACTCGCTGCCGAAGCTCGGTAAGGCCGCCGCCGGTTCTCATTCACCCCCGTGTTGTCGCCAGGATCGCTTTCGGTGCGATCGGGACGAAGCCGAGGCACGAAAAGATGCTTTGTTCCTGTGAAGTTTGATTCGTTAAATAAAAACCACCCCGTTGACTCCTCTATCCCCCTGCCGACGCCAGTCAGCCAAAGAGAAAACAACCTTCTTCCCCCCGAACGTTTTGGGGGAAGTCGGCCAACTCTTTGTCCTTTGAGCAATTACTGTCGGGTTCATTAATTTGTTCTCGTATCAGGAAAAAGAAAACTCTGCGTCCTCTGATTCTTCCCTGCGTGTCAGGGGGCTCTAGCTGGCGGAAAATGAAGCGTTTTAGCGAACAAACTTCTCTATATGCAGCGAAGTGTTGCTGTAGCGACAACGTTTGCCTTCATCTCGCTTATGTTTGGCCTCCGGTTACGTAATTGATTAAATGAAACTGAAGATGGATGTGAGTGAGTTTGTTGCAGAAAAGTTTAACATGTCCTCCAGCTCATTCTAAATTGGTTTTTGTGTGGAAACGGTTGATGTCGGTGCAGCTGAAGTGAAAGAAGTTGAAGTGTTGATTGAAACAAAGAGGATGGATGAAGTTGTGGCGGCTTTTTCGTTTTATTCACTTGTTAGAAACTTGATGTTTCATTCTTGAAAGCCACACGTGTTGCAGAAACTGATAACTTTAAAGCACTTCATGGAGTTGAAGTTGATGCACTGAAAGCAGATGAAGTGGTGGTGAAAGTGGAATCATTGCAAGACATTTGTGTGAAGATAAGACTGAAAAGGGTTTAAAAAAATGTTAGCTGCATGTTGGTGATTTTAGGCTTCTTTGGTGCAGTCTAACTCAAAGAAGTTGAAGCGTCAGCCGAAAGAAAGATGCTGAAAGAGGTTCTGTCTTTGTTGTAGTTGTATGTTGCCCCACTGCCTTTTTATTCAGTAAATCAATCTCAACACTTTTGTTGGATTTTAAGAATGAAATTGTTTAAATGTCTACAAATTTGATTCTCTGCGGCTTTGAAGTGGACTCGTGGCGCAGCTGAACTGAAAGACGCTGAAGTGTCGTTTGAAACAAAGCAGATGTTGTGGCGTCATTGTGTTGGCATTTATTTTTCTTCAATTGCTCGATGTTTCATAATTTTTGAAAAGCAGAAACTGATGACTTTAAAACATTTCATGGAATTGAAGCTCGATCTGAAGTTGATGCACCGAAAGAAGTTGAAGTGTCAGTGAGAGGAGAGTCACTGCAAGAGATCTGTGTGAATGCTCAGATAATAGTGCTGAATTTTTTATTTTTATTTTTTAAAAAAGAGTAATTTTTGTCTTCTTTGGTGCAGTCTAACTGAAAGGAGTTGAAGTGTCAGCTGAAACAATGACACTGAAAGAGGTTCCAGTCCAGTGTTTTGTAGTTTTTGAAACATATATGTGTTGCAGATCATTTTGAAGTGCTTCATGGAACTGATGCTGGATCTGAAGTTGAAGCACTGAAAGATGTTGAAGTGGCAGTGAAAATGAAGCTGCGATTTATCCAGATGTTGTAGTTGTATGTTGCCCACTGTCTTCTCACTCAGTGAATTAATCTCATCACTTTTTTGGATTGTAAAAATAAAATTGTTCAAATGTCTTCTAATTTGCTTCTCTGCAGCTTTTGAAGTGGATTTGTTTGGTAGAAACAGCAGACGATGGTGCAGCTGGACTGAAAGAAGCTGAAGTGTTGCTTGAAACAAAGAGGATGAATGAAGTTGTGGCTTCATTGTGTTTTCATTTCAGTTTTCTTTAGCTGCTTAAAACTTGATGCTTCACAATTTTTCAAAGACAGAAACTGAATCTAAAATTGATGCACTGAAAGAAGTTGAAGTGGCAGCGAGAGTGGAGTCACTGCAAGAAATCTGTGTGAATGCTCAGATAAGAAGGCTGAAAAATGGTTAAAGGTGGTTAAAAATGAGTCATTTCAGGCTTGTTTGGTGCAGTCCAGCTGAAAGAAGTTGAAGTGTCAGCTGAAACAAGACACTGAAAGAGGTTCCAGTCCAGTGTTTTGTAGTTTTTGAAATGTATGTGTGTTGTAGAAACAGATAATTTTGAAGTACTTCATGGAATTAAAGCTGGATCTGAAGCTGAAGCACTGAAAGACGTTGAAGTGTGATATCAGGTGCTGACAATGCAGACCTGAGGTTCCTCACCAGGCAGGTCTACCAACATTAGCAACTTGAAACCTGTGATTGTTGGCATCATGTGAACTGAGGGTGACAATAAATACCTCAGAGACTTGGATGAACCAAAAGGAAGTCAAAATACCTTCTACTAAACCACTCGGGGTTGGTTTTAAAGTCGGTTTTGGGGCGTTTCCAGAAACAGGAAGTGCCATCTGGACACTTTTTGTGCCACCAATGGCGCCCAGTTCCTCAAAATGTACCACGAATACTAAAAATACTCTTCAGAGGTGAACACTGGGGGGTTTCTTGGACGAGTTTCCTTCAGCACTCCTTGGACATACGAGGTACACGTTTCCCTAAAAGATGACGAAAACGCCACTTCGTTTACCCGTTTTATTCTTTCTGCCTCTGTTCGACGAATCCGGAGACCTTGAAGACGTGGAAGTGGAGCAGCTGAAACAGAAGCCGCTTGAAGTGGAAGCTAAATTCATTCAGTTTGCGTTGGAGAGGAGGAGGACGAGCCGCCCGGCTGAAGGTTAATTTGAATTGCAAATGCTGAGTGGAGTTTAAGTGTCTTTTCAAGTGATAACATTTCAGTTTCTCTGAGTTTTGTTTTGCCCACTCCAACGCTCGCTCGCTCGCTCTTTTTCCTTTTTCCTTTTTTTTTGGAGGGTTTCTGGGGAAGTAGTCGGTTAAGCAAGCAATCAAAGGAAAGCCAGAGCGGCTGTTTGTGGCTGTTTAAAGGCTTTACAACGAAACACAAACCGGAAGCGGTGAAGGAAACCAAGCGCCATTCTGGAAACACTCCTTTATATTCAGATTTCCATCGATTGAGAGTTTTTCAGGGCTGCAGCAGATTCAGAAAACAGCCCTGAGAGAGTTTTATTTATAACATTTATAATTATCTCCTGAAATAGCAGCAAGCTGACTAGAAGTGTTTCTACTGGAAGGTTCGTCACGTCGGAGGAACCGAGAGATGTTCTGACCTTTTAGAGGATCGGCTCTGGTGCCGGACGGTTAAATCGATCCGTCAAGGTGTTGTTGGAAAAGTTACGTCAACAGAGATGTTGTTGTTGTTGTTTCTTTATCTGCATGTAGGTTTTAGTTTCCTTATAGAACAGAACATTCATAGAACATGTTCCAGGTGTTTGTTTTCTGTGCAGCAGGTTTGTTTGTTTCGACTCTCAGTTGTTTGTAAACAAACAACATGTCGTGTTTGTTTACAGTTTTATTCGCCTCCTAGTCGTCTGTTTTTAACGGTTTCTGCCATGTTGTGCAACTTTTTTGTCAGTTTTTGAATCATTCAGCCGTTATCACAGACATTTTTTGTCTTTCTTTGCAATTTGCGTCTTTTTTTTTTCTCGGCATTTTGTGTCCCTCTCATGTTCTGATCCAATATTTGAGTGTTGTTTACTTGGTTCTGTCTCTTTGTTGGTGATTCGTGTCACTTTCGCTGTTGCTCGCCAACATTTTTGTCTTTTTATATTTTATTTTAGATTTTTTTTTCCTCTCTTAACAGTTATTTGGTGACTATTTTTACGCCTTTCTGTCATTTTGTGGATCTTTTTTGTCCGTTTGTGTTTTCTTCACAAACATTCACACATGTTTGTAGCTGTTTGGATTTTTCTGTCGTTTTTTTTTCGTTGGTTTTGTGCCTTTCTGTGCTCGTATTGTGCAGCTGTTTGTCAGTTTTTGTGTTAATCTTGTGTGTTCTCTACCTTTTTCTTTGCTGTTTGCATCTTTTTTTAAAAGTTTTTGCATGAATTTGCAGCTGCTGCTGGTTTGTGTCTCTTTGAGGTCGTTTTGTATATTAATTATGTGATCAGTTTGCACATTCTGATCCAGTATTTTGGCTTTTTTACTTGCTTCTGTGTCTTCGTTGTCATTTTGTGTCACTTCTGCTGTTGCTTGCCGATGTTTTTGTCTTTTCCTGTTACTTTTATTGATGCATTGTTTTTTTGTTTTATTATTTGGCGTCTATTTTTTTATCAATTTCTGTCATTTTTATCTTTTTGTGCACATTTTGTGGATCTTTTTAGTCAGTTTATGTTTCCTTCTCCGACCTACTTCCCCAATTCTTGCAGCTGTTTGCATGTTTCTGTCGACATTTTGTCTTTTTCAGGTTGGTTTTGTTGCTTTGTGCTCATTCTGTGCAGCATTTTTCTCAGTTTCCACGTCCCTCTGACCTGATTTCGCTGACAGATTGTCTTTGTTTAGTCGATTCTGTTCTTATTCAGGTTATTCTAGAAGCTACTCGTCGTCAGCGCTCAGAGAAGCTTCTAGTCTCCATCAATTACTGCAGCAGCGAGCGTTTGGTCCACCTGGGACGTCTGACAGAGCTGATGAATGCCACTAATTAAGGTTGTAGTTGCACTCGACAGAGTTCTGGTTGCTCGTTCAATCAGTCAGAACTCCAAACACCACCAGGGACCAGAAAATAACGAGATGCATGAAATGTTTTCAGAAAGGCTTCCTCTCAGCCCCGTACGCCCATATTTGGTGTTTACTCTCCTTCCTTCCTGTCCGAACTAATGAACGGCGTCAGAGCAGTCAAACTTCATCTCCTCGTCTTTCTTCTCCGTCTCCTGTCCGGGTAATTGTTTGTGTTTTACACTTGTGTCCTGCCAGAAGTAATTAGCCGAGTGGCGGCGCTGCGTTTGTGTTTTGGTCTAATGTGATCAGGCCGCCTCCATATTGTGGATGTCAGACTCTTTCTTCCTGCCCACATTCATCCATCACATTAGCAATTCACTTTCAACGGCTCGTTTCCGTCGGCTCGGATTAGCTCTGACATTTGAGTCGACCCCCAACTTCCTGACCTTTAGTTAGCCGCTGCAACA